ATGCTTTGTCTTGGTCCCCTCCAGAATGCCATTGTTGTGTGCCTTGGTTTTTCCTTTTGGCTGATTCTTTGGGGCACCCAGAGGAATATGCCTTTTCTCTTTTGCACAATCACAGGTCTGAGGGCAACATGCTTTCAAAATGAAATCTCTCTTTGTAGGACTAATTACCTTGCATGAGAAGTCGAAAATGTAGTTTCTCACTTTCTCACTGCCACAGCACACAGGTTCTCACCACTTCAAAGAACAGAAATGTTTATAATGGTTCATGTAAATGTGACAGGTCCTGGGTCAACACAGCCCACCACTTGCTGAAAGTTAGGCTGGCAATTATGATACTTTGCTCTGGGCTTCACAGTCTGTGTAGTTAAACACCTCTGCTGAGAGTGTTCTTCCTTCAGCCTTGCATTTGTCTAGTCACAGCTTTCTTGCCTAGCATCTTCTTGCCCATAAAATTATTAACTAAGAAGTCATGATCTTCTTTTCATTAATCTTCCAGTTTGTCTTCTACCAGGCTCACAAGATTGTTTTTAAAAAAATTTTTTTGGCAGTGGTCTAATTCTTTTCCATCCACTGCCTCCTCTAGTTTTCTTACTTTTTCAATCAAATCAGATAGTTTCCTAGACCATTACACTTTTCTGCATTAAGGGGAAACTGGTTGCCTTTGATAGTAGAGGTGGACCAGATTCTTTGGCCTTGTTTTTCTTGCCCAGGTAATTCCATAAAGCATCCCTTCAGCAGCTTCTAAGTGGAAAGGGTCAAGGTTTCCATGTGGATGGAAAATGTAAAGTCTCTTTGGTCTTAGAAACTCTCTTAAAGCTTTTTCAGTACTTATCAAGTATTTAATGGTTTTAAACATTAAAATTGAATTAAAATCACAGCTCATAGAAAATTTTAGCTGGAATTGTTCTATTTGTTAAAGTAATAAAAAGCTAAATCCCACATTTTTGTAATGGAAAATATTGCAGAGTCTTCTGATCTGTTACAGTCTTCCAGGAGCTGTAATTACATGTTTCTTTAATTCTCAGCTGGATTCACAATTCTTGAATGAACTAAGTTTTCTGAGGGTCAGGTAACTGTTACTCAATTAAATTGTCAAGGGAAGACAGGTTATAACAAATAGGAAAAAACCAAAACCAAAAGAAATCCAAATCACCGACAGCTGCCGCAAAGGACATCTGTCTTTGAATGGGGGAAAAAGTTGCTAATTTGAGACACAAGCTTACTGTGATAATTTAGGTAATTACATTAAATTATGGTTAATGTAAGTAATTATAGTTATTTAGTTATGACATAATTCAGCACAGTTAGACACAGCCACGAGATGTGTTTGGTGTCTTGCCCGCAGAGAGGGAACACACTCACATGAAGTGTTGTCTACATCTTGTGTGAGCCTCTGCATCCAAATCTGGCAGAGTCTCTAGTGCTATTCACCCAGACAAGAAGCCCATGGCATGACAAGTGATTGAAACACAAAAAGGAAGCCATGTACCTTGCCTTCTAGCCAGAGAAGGTTTTTCCTGGGAGTACTTTTTCTAACATTATGTCTCATAATGTTAAAGTTCCTATGCACTGCCTTGCTTTTTATTCTTTCCTCCAAATTATTTTTCCTATTTCCAAACTATTTTGTAATGTTTCTCCTTATCAGGATATTTTTCTAATAATCATTCAATGTTTTCATTTTCAATATCTTAATTATATGTTTTTTTCCCCCTAATTATAGGTACTATTTTTCTTATCTGACTAAACCAGAGAGGATTATTTTCTCCTTATTTCTGTGATGTGATGCCTCAATCAGAATTGCATTACCTTTTTTGTTTCTCTGCCATATTACACAGTAATCTCATCTATTCTCAATTAAAAGATTCAGGACTCTTTTGGGATCAGTGCCTTTCAGGTCTTCTCACCCAGAGGCTAATAGTTAAGTTATTTTTCCCACATGTATTAAAATCTAATCCTGCAGAGAGACTTATATAACTGCTTGTTTTTATTCTTCGTGAGTATTCTTATTGGAGCAGATAGGACTACTCAGAATGCATAAGAACATGCTTATGATATCAAGCTTTTATTAAAATGAATCTTGATTAAAAGTAAAAGTGATGCCATAATATCAGCTTTTAAGTCTCTTAATGCTTTGATGAACAGATGTTCATATTTTGTCTTGGTTAAATATGTTATATCAATAATTTCTGAATTAAACCAAAATAAAACCAAATTTAATTTAATATGTATTGCTTGAACCTAAGAACATTTTATGTCACTCAAGGTATTTTTATTTTTCTGAAATACAAATGTAAATTTAGAGTTCTAACAAAAATTCTGCTTGTTTTTTTTTTTAAGGAAGTTAAAATAATTCTTTCCCTCTTCATGCATTATTTAAAGCAGACAGATGCTTTGGGTATTCTGGTTGCCTTTGGAAGGAACTAACATTTCTAGTTTAAGTTTATAATTTAAACTGAAATATCTAGGTCTCTCATAGTTAGTGTACTTTATTGCTTTCTGTCTGATTAAACACATTAAACCAAATTATCTTTACAGCTCCCCAGTTTGGGTTTCTCTAATGTTCTAGACTACTTTGTTGAGGTATATTGTCTTCTGTGTCTCTAAGAACTGCCATTCCTCAGCAGCTTGGGAAACTTTAGTATTTTGGCCCCATTTCTAATTCTTTTCTTGCTAAAACCTTTTGATATGCCCTGGCTCATCCACAGTTACTGGATTCAAAGCAGGATTTAATATCTGTGGCTCGTGTTACACAATAGAATAAAATTTGTTCTAGCAATGATGCCTCTCTTTTCTAAATCTCAGAGTTTATGTAAAACTCTGATTTATAAGGAAGTGAGTCTGCTTGAGTCCTGATTCAGCCATTCATCCTTGCAAATCTCTAGAACGTGTGTATAGTAGAATGTTTGCTGAATAGACAAGGATGAAAGGATTTTCTTATATTTTGTTGTGCTGCTTTATAAGAAAGTCTATAATAGCTGAAGGTTAAAAAAATAAGGGAATCCCTTGGGAATTTTGATAAGACTTTGGAATATCTCAGATTTTACTTTTTGAAACCCTTTGGATTCAAAAAGTAAAATCCACCTTTGGATGACCAGGTGAAGAATGTGACAACAAGAAATTTAACAAGTTAGGTAGCTGGAACTGAATCCAGAGATTTTATCTCCACTAAGATTATTAAATGTCAGTGTAAGAGATACAGATTAAGTATTTTTCTGCTGACCTGTTTGCTGGATTTTTCATTCTACCAACTTGGTCTATGGAATGGAGCACATTTTTCATCTTCTAGTCTCTTTGGAATACCTCAATCAAGAGAGACTTTGCTTTCAAATATTCATGTTTTTTCACCATGTTTATCTGGGTTCAGTCTAGAGAGATAGATTTTCTAGGAAGTCAGGGGACCAGGTCTTACCCCCCAGTCTTGTAAGAGTGTTTATGACTATGAAAAGAAGGACAAAATGTATCCCTATGTGTGAGTATATCTGCTAACCAACAGTAGCCTAAGGAAGAATACATGAAGAAAGTCAGCATTTGGTACTTTCCAGAATATTCTTTCAACTTCCAGCTGTTCCTGAGAGATGGATTTATGGATTGAGGGGTATCTTTGCTTTTGAAAGCTCTTGGTGATTTTTTTTTTTCCCCCATGATGTTGTCCTGGTAATTTTCAGCCTACCTAGACTTTTGACATTGGTGATCCTCAGTAGCAGCAAATTCTACACCATGGAATCAAACAGAGAAGATAAAGGAAGGTTTATTCTTTCTGACAGTTGTGGTTTAAGCAAACACTTCTCTTTCTTGATATTCTTGGTTTCCTCTCTAGGATGTTAGCTCCTCATCTTAACATTCAGTTCTACTGCTACAGTCTGCTGTAAACACGCCCACACTCTTACACATCACTTCCTCAAGGACTATTCACTTGCAATGCTTAGGTGGCCAGCATTCAAATTCAATCAGCTCTGTCTGTCCAATTTTTTCATATCAGATTGCAATCCTTAGTCTATCAGCTGCTGGATGAATTCTTCTGGGCAGCTGAAAGAGGAATGGGCCAGCTGCAGGCCCTGCCCTTTTAGAGACCAGGTTGTGTCACTATAATTCAAAGCCGATTGCTTCCTTCCCAGTGCAAAACTGTCTCTGTGAGCAGACAGACTGAAAGTGGAATTTGCTTTTTATTATTTCAAAAATAGCAATGTATGGGTTTTTTAGGCCAGACTGGCTTGGACTGAGCTGCCCAGCTTTAGACACTTCATCTAAGACCGTTCTCACTGGCCCCTCCCTGGTCAGCAGAGCTAGCTAATCTGCTCAAAGGACCTCTTCTATTCAGTCTCCTCTTCCAAATGATTCTGTAGAAGCTTGCCTTCTGCTACTGACTATAAAGAGAGCATGAGGAAACTCGAAAACTAACTTGAACATTAAAACCTGATAAGTAAAATTAGGCATAAATAAGTGTAGGCAAAGGAGGAAATGAGATGCTGAACACGGCAGAGTATGGAGAGCTTTCAAATGAGTTATTTATCTGATCTAGTTATAGGATGTAAGTCTAGTAGTACAGTAATGACTAAAGCTGGCTCTGAGATTTTTGTGTTGTAGCTCATGACATGGTGTCTGAGGTCCTTCATCTGGTTCTGCTATGCAGTCCAGAAGGGGATCTGTCTTGTTAGCATACATCTGAAACATTTTAATCATGTATAACTTTGTTCTCTGCTCCCAGCAAAACATCATGTGCTCTTCTTTACAGCACTTGTAAGATAAAAACTTCTTTGAAAGCAGAGCCTTCCTTGTTTGCTGCTGTCATACTTTGATATTGTAATTTCAATTCTGCCTCCTTTATCCTTTTAATAATTCATTATAATGTAATTTATAGGTGGTAGCAAAAAAGTGAGATCATAGCACAATGACAATTTAGCAAGTTAAAGTTTATTACTATTCATTCACTGTACATTAAGTCTACTGAAAGAGCAGTATACTGGATTGATTGTTCTCTATTAATCTGTGTAGGAGAAAAAGTTTAAGCAAGTACATTTGAGCCTTGTTCTGACTTTCAACATCACAGCATAAATTAGCTGTACTGTGTGATGCTGCAGATGGTATATGTGCTATTTTTATTGTCACAGTTTTTTGCTCTTTAGCTTTAGTTTCAGTATTGCCCTTTATAATCACTGGGCAATTGGTATGAAAAGTGAAACAGTAAAGTAAAAAAGTAAAACACTCAACCCCACAGAGAGACTTTTTTAATGGGATATATTTTCACAAGGACGAGCTGATCAAAGGCACTGAGAAATAAAATTTTGAAATGAGGTGCATACCTCAAATCAAGAAGGCAATAATTCTGCACTTGCTTGGTGATGTTGTCAGGAGAAGATGCGGAACTTATTTCTTTGTTAACGATACATTTTCTCTAAATAGCTAAGAACTCGATACTGTTCGTCTGTAAGGGTCCCACTGAAAAAGCTTTCCTGTCAAGAGAGAGAATAGTTGGAAAATAAACAAGAACTGCTGTGTAATTCTGTGATATAAGAAAATGTAGAACATAAACAATATGACTTAAAAGCTATCAACAGCAAGATGTGCATTATTTCAGTTTCTTTATAAAGTTCTGCAAACCATCATTTTTTGTTTGTAAGTCCTCTGCACCTTCTATTTATTGCTGTACTACTGCTTTTTGGCATTTCTGGTCACTGCTATGGCCAGCTGAAAAGCTGCCTGATGGAAAAGGACCTGGGGGTGCTGGTTGGCAGCCAGGTGAACACGAGTCAGTGTGCCCAAGTGGACAGGAAAGCCAATGGCACCTTGGCCTGTGTGAGCAATAGTGTGGCCAGCAGGATCAGGGCAGTGATTGCACCTCTCTGCTGGTCACTGGTGATGCTGCACTTGAGTCCTGTGTCCAGTTCAGCTCACTGCAAGGACAGTGAGGTGCTGGAGTGAGTCCCAAGAAGGGCAATGAAACTGGTGAAGGGTTTGGAGCACAAGTCTGATGAGGGAGATGGGGGTGGTTAGCCTGGAGAAAAGGAGGCTCAGGGGAGGTTGTATCTGTTTTGGGCAGAAAAAGCACCACACTTGGTTTCTGCAAAGGTATACAGAAAGAGAGTGGGGAGTTTTTCATGGTACTAAATACTCAATATATAACAAATAAGATGCCACCTTATCATATGAAACTGCCAGAACTGTATGTAGATAAGAGAAATAGGAAACAGAATTGTAGTAAGTGAATCATCTCTTTGTCAGACAGCAAATTGTTAAAATCTTTTACAGGCTGCTCAATTCAAGGAAACTAATTTCTTCAAAACAGCCTTTATAATTGCCCCTTAACTGAAAGATCCTTACAGTATGCTTAATTGTTCTCTGAAAACAAAAAAACAGGATGAAAAGGAAAAGAAAAAATAAAAAATAATATAGGAGAGCAAGCAAGTTAGAAGCCTTTGGCTTTCTGTCAATGAAAAGAGATTAAACTTGCATCAAGGAATTAACACATTGATGGGGCACACTGTACAGCTGAATTCTAAAGAATATGTTAATAGTACAGAAAAAAAATCCTGTTATAATTCCCAGTGATCTGCACAATTAAGGCAACAACATTTATGCATTTTCTTCTGTGCTGGCAGAGAATGCTGCATGAGTTCCTTCATTAGTATGCATTGTTGTATGAACTGATTCCCTTGTGTAGCTGTAGACTGTCACTGGCAGACACAGGAGGTCTAGAAAATTATACAAGTATGGGTCACAGAATGATTTTTAATTAAATGTAGCAAATAACAAGAAATCTAAATTTCTTTTGGAAGTAATATCATTCTATTGATAATGCAATAACACTTTAATTCACATTTCAAAATATTTTGCCTAGCAATTAATATTTTCAATCTGCTGAAATATCTATTAAAGCAATGTAGATATATTTAGTTCTATCTGAATTTTTGTTTTTAGAGGTTCATTTTCCTACAAACCAAAAAGCCTTTGATTTCACAATATTTGTGATACTTCCATGTGAAATTTCTTGAGAACTGTGTGTCCTGTGCATGCCCATGTCTATTTATTCTGCTTCTAAAATCATCCTTCCTGAGTTGGTCTTTTGATTCATTCCTGTGGCAGTTGTTTCTGAGAATTTGTTAACAAATATAAATATGAGTCATCTAGAAAAAAAACAAGAATCCATATGGCATGTAAAATTTTGAGTAACAATTCTTCCACGCATATTTTAGCACTTGACATTGTTACCATGTGCTGACTGTTACTTTTAATCAGCATTTAAGAACTTTTCTAACCAAAGCCAGGATGAAGTTTGTGTTATAAACCCCTGCCTTTAGGACTTTTGTTCAGGTATGCATACATAATTATGTGTATATATATATATATATATATATATACACATACACAGGTATATACACATATATATATATTTACCTACACATTAGTATGTGTGTGTATATATATATATATATATATATATATATATATGTATGTATCTGTATATCTTTAGTGAAGGGAAAGAATTTTAAAGGACTGCCTTATTACTATTCAAATTCACTACAGAACTTTTCTTTTGTCATTGTTTCAGCAGGAGAAGCCATAAGGTCTCAGAGTGACTTCTTTGCAATTTAGAATGAATCATATACCTTTAAGAGCTGAAGTATAATCATACCTTTGACTTTTCTGCTTTCATCACATTGATTTTCCAGATAGAAATTGATTATGTAAATCAACTACTTCAGCTTATTGGTTCATATCAGTATTTTTATTTAATTACTCTTTGCAACATTTAAAGGAACATTTTATGAAACTGCAATGAAAACTGTACCTTCATCATCCTTAATTTTCCACACAATCAGTGTTGCTGAAACACAGTAATGCACCGCTTCCTATGACTAATTTTTCACATGGAAATGTGTCCTTCTGTGGTCGTGCATCTACACTCTAAAACAGATACAACCAATGTCAATAATTTCACTACAGTGTGTTCAGTCAATTGGTATCTGTCAATCTGTCAGCTGAAACTTGAAACATGACTGATTGTGCTCCGTGGTGTGGATCTGTAAAACACATTAGCAATAGTTTACATTCAGTATTTGCAGCATTCTCAGTCATTACAGTGTGTGTTGTTGAATGTATATTAAGAATAATGTGTTATGCTCAGCTAACTTTTAACATAGTGGTTGACACTTTCCCCACCCCAAAACGCTTTCAAAAAGCTGCTGCCTTTTCTTTCTTTGACACAATATAAAATACAAAATGCCACAACCTATCTTCACAAAATGTTACAGATTTGATTTAGTGTCTCAAAAGCTACACACACTCTGTGTTGCTCAGGAAGTCTGTAAAAAGAATACCCAGCTTTTAGCAGGAGGTTGTCACCTTAATTTATTACCATCCAAAGACTGCATGGTATTTTATGCAAATTGTGTTGGTGGCTTCAGTCCTGCTCCCAGGGGACAGATTCCCACATCATAAAACTGCCTCAACAGTTGTTACTGGGTGTGTTTGATGAACTTGCATGTACAGAGTGTAGAAAAGTGATATTCTGTGAGCAGTTCTGAAAGGGAATGGCTTCAACATCCTTCTGGAAGTGGTCCCATCAAAGTGGATTTGAGACACATTAAAGAAAAACACTGGAGGTATCCATTTCCCTGTAATTGTCTGACCCCCGTCAGGGGTAGGTATTCATTTTGTTTTCTGCAGCTGACAATCCACACTTTAAAGCACATCTATTTTGATAAGAAAAAAAGACACTGACAATGTGCTCAAGTGCTTGGATGCTCCATGCTTCTCAATCCCTCACCCTTTTGGGATGGAGGGGAGCTGGGCTAGCTGTAGCACACATCTGTGTGACCAGAGATCAAACTGTAGTGGTTAAAAACTAAGAGCCACTGGCACTTCAATGACACTCCTCTAAATGCACCTTTCCTTTTTCTCTGTAATCTTTTACAGAGGCTGCAGCTGCTTTTTGCATGGGTACCATATTCTAAGCTCCACAGAGGTTCTAAGATCTCTTAGTCTTAGTGCCAATAAATACGATCATCAACCAGTCCAGCAGGATGAAAATATAACAGCAGCTGCTTGATGCTTTGGAGATTTCTTCCCCTTCTCTCCTGCCATGCACTTTACGTCACTCCAGAGCTGGGAGTAAGCTTGACTTCTCTGCCCAGTGCACAGAAATTTTGATACCTTGTTTTAACTCTGAAATTTTCACTGTTCTGCTTGGCTAATTTTAATTTTTCAATTTCCAGCCTCCTGTCATTCCTTTATTTCTGGGCTCTGTTAGTCTATTTTTCATTCCACCATGGAATTCCACCCCACTGTAGGGTTTTTCTGGTGGGCTCAAATATGTTTTACTTGTAGCAGCTTTTTGTCTATAGTAAGTCCTCATAATTACTAGGCAGATGACAGCTGTTATTAATAAGGGGATTTTTTTTCTCTTGTGCTCTTTTGAGGATCAAATAATCACAGAATTACAGAATCATGGAGAGTTTGGGGTTGAAATGGGCCTTAAAAATCATCTAGTTCCAACCCCTCAACCAGGATTCCTCCCACTAGACCAGGTTGCTTGAAGCCCATCCAACCTTACTTTGGACACTTCCAGGGATGGGCAATCCACAATTTCTCTGGGCAGCCTATTCCAGTGTTTCACTACCCTCATAGTAAAGGATTTCTTCCTACTATTTAATATAAATCTATCCTTTTTCAGTTTAAAGCCTCTCCTTCTTTCATTGCATGCATTTGTAGAAAGACCCTGCTCTCTTGCAACTCCTTGAGGCAGTGGAAGGAGCTGTAAGGTCTCCTCAGGGCCTTCTCACCTCCAAACTGAATAATCCCCGCTCTCTCAGCCTGTCTTCAGAAGAGACATGTTCCAGTCCTCTGGTTATCTTCACAGCCCTCCTCTTGGGCCCAGTGAGTCCATGTCCTTCTCTTGGTGGCCCCAGAGCCTGGATTTCTGGCACCATCATAGTATATTTTGAGCATTTTGCTGTATAGCTCCTACCTTAGATCCAGAAACTAGACATTCCTTTTATGCCCCTCAAAGGGACATAAAGACCTGCTTATGTCTTGTCACTTAACACCATTCCTTTTCCCTGCAAATTTTCAACATTCTATCCTTATTTTGGAAAGAAAAAATAATCAATCTATTTTATTGGAGTCTAGTGATTACCTCTCTTATCCCAGAAATGGGAGAGCTGGAGTTTGTTGCTGTGGCTGTCTGAGGAGCCTCCTCACTGGAGCAGTTCCTTTCTGCAGGTTTTATGCTCAGTTGCAAGGGGACTTTCTCCCACTTTGTGCTTGATTGGTGTAATTAGGCAATTGTTACAGTGCTTGCTTAAGGATTTCCCTCACCTGCAGGGCTCCATCTTAATGCTCTGGTTTATAGTAAAGGTCATTGTGCAATACTTGCTGGATTGTAGTTCAAAATGCAGTGTTCTTTGAAACACTCAACAATGAAAAGATTCAGTTCTTGATGACGTAGGTGTATCATTTGCTGTGTTCAGCTTTGAGACTGAGCCCACTGGACTAGTTGGTTTTGTGATATGAATCTTCTCCAGTTAAATGAATCATAGCCAAAGAAGATGTTATATTGACTACCAAAGTGTGAGTTTTTAGTTTGGTGAATTATCTTCCAAATGAGAAATAGGGGTGAAAATTGAGTAACAATGTCCTAAAGCTGTTGCAGTTAATTATTTTGAAATACATGATGAATGACCATAACCAGTGAAAGTGTATGTAATATTTGTGAACTGTCTTTGACTACTATTTAGTTCAGAGTTATAATACTGATTTTAAAAAATGGACCACACTCTTATTTTAAACCAACTTAATTTCCATCCTTCAGTCCTAAGGAAAACAACTTCAATGACTAATAACATACACAATGAAAGAAAAATAGCATTTGGAGTGGTAAGCCAATGGTGATTGTGGTAACTCTGGATATAATTTATGCCATTTCCCTGGACTCAAGATGAGAAGTGTCCTATGAAGTCTCTGTGGGAATGAGTTGATTACTCTCTACCTAATTTATTAACTGCAAGAAAATGGTGTTCTAATGTCCTGCTTTTGGGGATCAGTTTAAGATCCAGAAGTTAAATAAATACTTATGTATACTGCATAGAATTTCACTAGGACATTGAATCAAGTTAGATCTTGCAGGAAAAATAGCTGTAAACATGTATCATGGTAGTTTCTTCCTGTAACACTGGAATTGTGTTTTCTCTTAGTTTTCTAGCTGTGATGAGCCATCATCTGTCATGCTGTCCTTGGTGACTGTCTACCCAGTGTTCCTCAGTTTTTAATGAAAACGAATGTATAGCTAGCCTGAGAGGTTAGCTATACATTCTAATACAATTTTTTTGGTTTACATAAATGTATTGATATTGGCCTTGGGTCTTTTTGACTTATTGAAGTCTGCCTCAGCAGACAGATTGACCATTTGAGCACATTCACTCCAAAAATGACCTAATTACTTGGGGCTTGGGGGGACAGTGGAAAGAACTCTGCAAGTCCCATGAAAAATGGTAACAAGCCTACATAAACACGGTCATGTAGTCTTGAGAAATACAATATGCTGGAGAAGTTAGAAGCAGTGTGTTGCTAACAGCACAGCTTTATGTACATAAGGAGACCTTCCAAATTTAGTAGGGTAGAGATGAAACAGGCATGTTCAGGCTTGCAGGAACTTTTGTGTTCATCACTTCACTACTAGTAAGCTTCACATATTTCAACTTTTCTGGGGGGTAACTGTATCACCTCATTTAATGGAGTCACAGAATGATTGAGGTCAGAAGGGACCTCTCTAAGTCATCTGGTTCAACCCATCTGCTCAAGCAAGGCCAGCAAATACCAGTAGCCCAGGACCATGTCCAGACAGATATTGAAGGTCTCTAATGATGGAGACTCCCTGAGCTCCCTGCTCAATCTATTGGAGTGCCTGTCTGTTACCTTCTCTGAGTTTGCTGTAATAATAATTTATCTGTAATACAACCTGCCTTTTTGTCCTGCTTGCTGCACTGCACTCTGGTTAAGCTGTGTGTACAGGGACTTTTACAAAACTGTTGAAAATCAGAAAGTAGTTGGGACATATCTATGAATATGTGACTTGCAAGGAAACAGGGAAACTATGGGAATGAGAGATTATACATAGGGAGACATCAGCCGGATAAAAGCTGAATGTGCAATGTTTAAATTTTTTGTGGTACTTCTGAGAAATATCACATCTGACTCCTATTTGGCTGTTTCTAAAACAATAGCTCCTTTCTTTGACTAGTTAGGAACATATGCTTTCCAATTATCTTCTTTTTTTTTTTCTGTGTCTATTCATCATGGCCTACTGCAGTTTTCAGTTTTTCAGGGAAGTTCTGTTATCTCTCCTACTGTGGTAGTATCAGAGGTTTATTTGTAAATTCTATTGCCACATTTTCAATTAAGTAACACCACTTCAGAGTTATCTTAACACTAAGTGCTGGTGAAATTCGATGCACGTACCTTTAGGTCCTTAGCTTTTAATTAACAGCTCATTTCAAATTATTCTGCCTTCCTTACAGGTGAATTGTATAGTGGATTGTTGAGTCAATCACTAAGAGCTTCTGGATTATTAAACTCTTCTTGTTTCTCACTTTATGAGATGTTGGATTTTGTGACTGGGAGGGCAAATGACAGATGGATTTAACTCAGTTTAAATAATAACATCACATAAGTTACTACATGTATCCAATATGTTACCTTTTCTTGTTATATCATGTCCCTGACAATCATTTTTGTTACCTCATAAGTGTCTGATTTCTTTCTGACATTGTAAGTTAGCTACCTTTAAAAGATATATTGATCCATTACACTAACTAATTTGAACAAGTCACACTAACCTTAACTATAATATAATTTTCTCGTGCAGAGTTGATCCATTAGCAGTCTTAGGAGCTCTGTAAACCCTATCCTCAACTTAGATCTATGAAGTGACTTTCCTTTTTTATGTTTTGAGTAATAGAAAATAATCCCTCCTACAAAACTTATGTAAGGAAAAGAAAAAGTAATCAATTTTTTTTATGCCTGCTTCATAAATGAAGTCAGGTTTTATCTGCCTCCTTCATATTTGTGGATCTTTGCAAGCACCATTGTCAGCACTGTTGTGCTGCGTTATCAATAGTTACGACTCCCTGTCATAACTAACATTGTCAGAAAAATGCAGTTAACCTTTTCTGCACAAAATTAGTTCAATTACTAAGAAAAAACCTTTTTCTTTGGAAAACTTGCTTTGCCAAAAGAGATAAGCTGGCTTATAAACCTTGTTGAAGGTATAAATATTACATTACTCTATGACTCTGAACTGCATGTTTTCTTAATGAGCCACCAATTTTATTATTCTTTCATCAAATGCTTCTCTGGAAGTAGCTATCATCGCTCTTTCCCATGGCTAGTATTTTGAACAGGAAAAAAGGGAAAGTAAAATGTTAAGAAAATGAAGACTGAAGAGATTATTATTTGGAAGGATGTCCACAGATACGTTATTGCTTTCCTTTCTTTTAGCTGTCTCTAAGCACTGGAGATACCATGTATTTATCAGAATGGTGATTGCACTTGGTAGTGCCAAATTTTAATGATGCCAAATGCATACAGCTGAAAAGTAAGAAATGTGAGTTTATGAGCAATATAGTAGGGTGGTAGAGTTTGAATTTGTAGTAAAATGCTAGAAAAGCAGAAATCTCCTTTCTGACTCTGTCTGATCTGTAGTCAGCGGGGCATTAGCAGGGGTAGGAGTTGTAGTGTTAACGAGTAGTAAAGGAAGATATGAAAGAGGAAAGAGGGCTCCTGTCAAAAGAAAAAGGAGGAAGTATGCTCAGGAAAAAGCTTACATGAAGATTTATATTTCAATCATTTAAGTTAGCCGTAAGGCAGAACACAGGAATTCTGTGAAGTTTTGGTTAGTTTCTATGTCAGGAACAGAGTTAAAGTAACATCTGCTTAGAGCTACACAGGAATTGTGTAGCTTAGTAGGAAAGAAGTTTATATTTTTGGCCTAAAGTGTGTAAAAACAATCAAACACATCAACATGGAATGCAGGAGTGCCTATGGACTAATATTTGAAGATCCACTTGCACAGAAATTTGCTGAATACATTCACAGTCCAATGGGCAGATGAGGAACAAAGAGCCCTGCACCTCATGTAGAGATTTTCAGCATATTAGGGTTTATTTTTTAAATTTTCATTCAGTACATGGGAAAATTCTTTATAATATTCTCTCAGACATCAAAAAAAATAAGGTAATTACTGAAATTTATCTGACCTTAATAAATACATGGATGGCCATTTCTTTCTCATCAACTCACAGAGAAACAAACTCCATATGGTGAGTACAGTACTAAAACACGGACATCTAATGATAATATTGGGGTGATCCTGTGGAATTAGCAAATGGGGTCATCTCCATGACAAAAGGCTTGCACTTACCCACTAATTAAGAGTTGTCTTTCAATACAGAGGTATCTGCAGAAGTATCCTTTCAGGGGCATTTGGCTAAAACTGGGAAAAGTCTATGAAAAATGTTGGCTGAATCAGAAAAAAACAATTGGTAGATTTAACATGGAAGTTTCTGCTTTGAGTAGGATTAGTTGTGTACTCAACTATCCATGTCCCAGAGGATTTCACAGAAATTTTCAGCTGCCTGTAGCTTGCATAACTGCTGCAGAAATCAAAGGTTGGAAAGGAAGGACAAAATGCAGATGCGTCATGCTAGACTTTGTGTTCCTAAAATCTACAGCGATGTATCAGTATATGTTTATAATTTGTCACAGATGCACCAACTAATTACTGGCTGAGTGCCTAAATTTTAGAATAAATAAGTACATCCTAAAATGAATATAATTTATATATGAATTCATGTATAATAAGATAGAATATATAAAGTTTAAAAAAAAATTATCTTAAAAATGGAAGCTCTCAGAAAATGTTGATGTTATTTAACAATATTGCAAATGCCTAAAACATGTTTTTTATTCATGTGATACGGCCTAGGTAATTTACCAAGGTGAAAGATCTGTATAAACCATGCCTTTCAAAGTGAAGAAAAATTACCTTTCCTGCTCAGTCCATTGTTTCTGTAGACAATGGAGAAGAAATCTGCAGCAGTGAATGACTCTCCATAGTGCAGTGAGTTTTTCAAAGAGTAAAGTTGATGTTAATGTAAGTACTGATGAGGTTTATGAAATGCATTTTGAGACTCTCTTGCATTATTGTAACTTGA